TTGAAATAAGTTTTGATAAACTACCCATTTTCCTTCATTTTACCTGATGGCTCGAAGTTAAATCGAGAACATGTTTTTTATGATAAAGGAAAAAGGTTAAAAACTAGGGATGCACGATATTGGATTTTTGGCCAATATCCGATCAATACCAATTATTTATTTTTCCTAGACATACTTACAGAGACTACATATCTTTCTCTGCTGTGGAAGTAAAATACTACATTATTCTGCACGGTCTGTCAATTGGCCTGCTACCAAATGCAGATGCCAAAAAGTGGGCTGAAAATTATGTAACACTTTGTGTGTGTGTATATATCTATATATATATATATCTATATATATATATATCTATATATATATAGATATATATATATAAACAGTGCCACAGTGCCTTTTATATCTGTATTATTTTGATGGAATGTCCAATATTTAACTTAATCGCCAATATCGGCTGATACCGATACTATGCCGATAATATCGAGCATCACTTTTGAAAACCTTTCGAAATTTTGACTCGTTTGGGGGGGGGTCTTGTTCCCCCATATTCTTCTAAGATGGTGTAGGGCATTTGACTTGGAACCAGAAAGTCACAGGTTCAACTCCCCGCCATGGCCACATGTCGTGGTGTCCTTGAGCAAGACACCTAAAGATTCCTAGGTGTGTCTCACGTATGATGGGTTAAATGTAGAGCACTAATTTCATCATTGTACGGAAACGTACAACGATGACAATACATGCATACATCATAACTGGCTTATTCAGTACTCAGTGCGCCACTAATGCCCCTTTTCCATTAGTAACGGTACGTAGAACCTGTCCCTTTTCAGGACCCTTGGCTCTGTGGTTCTGACCCGGCTGAGTACGTACAAAAACGTGACGTCAGAAAAGTCGGTCACTGATTGGTCGGGGCGGAGTCACTGGATCTTCCAGAAACTTTTCAAAACAATGATCCACCATTTGCAATTTCTCAGACCGGAGCGGTGGCTGGATCTATTTTAAAGATTTTAAAAACAAAATGACAACACCGTGGTCTAATGCTGACGTTTTTTTGTGTTTGGTGGTCGATGACAAAATTCAGAGCAAGCTGGATGGAGCTCTGCTGGTCTACCCCAGTCCTCTCCCCCGGAGACTCGGAGCCAGGCGTCATCTTCCCTGATCCGAGCTCCGCTGGTCATCGTGGAAGATCCTCTGTGGTGCCGACTCGGGGTTCGGGCTCCGGATCCCGGCCTTGCGTGCTTCGAGCTCCGCTGGTCAACGCGAAGGCTCGTACGAGCTGGTGACTCGCAGAAGGCTGTTGCCCAGACCCTGGCCTCGCGTAATCATGAAGGCCGAACCCCGATCCTGGCAGACAGGCGGACCGGGACGGGTCTGGGACGGATGATGGAAGCGATTTTTAAATAAACTAATGATTTTTTTTTATACATAAAATGTTATTGGGGCTTAAAATCAAAGGAGGTGTAACATTTATTAACTTACAGTACATTGTAAAATCACTCTTCGGTCTGTATAACTTGTTGGTCAATTATATGAAAAAAATCAACAAAATTCCTTTTAAAAAAGGACATCAATGTGTCAGGAATCAATACCTCTTTCAGGCCCTTGAGTCCAGTGGGGCTCTCAGCTGTGGGGGCCCACAGTTTGATATCGTGGTCTAACCCACTGGTAGCCATTCCTGGCAGATGGGGATGTGGTTCCAGACAATTCACCTGGAATAACCCGTGACAATAAGTTTTATTTTTAATGTACAACACATAATACAAAAGTGCAAAAGAAGTACAAAACTGAGAGCGGACTGCAAATAAAAACTAACTGAACCAAACATTTTCAAAATTTCACTCAAGTTTTCGATGGTATTGTTGAGGGGTAGGGGAAATCACTCGGTCAAGCTTTTAGCCAAGTTTTAATACATTTCTGACAGCCTAAAGAATCATCGTGTTATTTTAAAACCAAGGCTGAAGTACTTACCAACTGAGTCCCAATACACACATGTTGATACTGAATCTACCATAACTACATAACCTGTCCTAAAGTATTTTAGTTTCTGATTTTTCTTTTCAAAGCACCCTTAAACTTTTCTTAAGTAATCACATTATAATTACAAAATTTTTATGCAGCATTTCCTTCAATGCACTGAAACTCTCTTCAAACATAGAAATGCATCTGCTTTTCAAATACGTGATGTGATTCCAGCTGAAACACTTTCCCTCTCCAACTTACCACTCCCCCTCTGTCTCCCTCCATAAACTGAACAATGCGAGCGGAGTACTTGTCCCACAGGTAGATGTGACCGCAGTCGCTGCCGCTGACCACAAACTCGCTGCATGGACCGTAGAAGTTCACACCTTTTACTGTAAAACAGACAAGAACTTAATGAAAACTGACAATGAAAGCCACACCGGCCAACTACTCTTCTAAAGTTTGCAGAGCGAGAGCTAATTTAAACAGCTGATTTATTGTAACAAGAATATAAGAAGAGGAACCTGTGGCGTTATTGCGATGGCCCTTATATCTCCTGCGATAGTCTGCCCCGTCGCTGTGGTTTGCATCAAACAGGTAGATGTCTTCGTCATTATAACTAGCCAGGAGCTCTAAAAAGACGCAAAGCGTAAAGCAGGTTTTAAAACTTCCTCTACCACCATGAAGAAGCTAATCTGGACTTTCAACTAAAAGGCAACAGCTTATTGAAGGACAAGATCTTAGACACTTGAAGTCACTGATATAGAAGGAGTTTCTAAATGTTAAATCAATACACCAAGTAAACATCAACTAGAGATTTCACAATTTCCAGTGTTTTCTAAAGCATGCCACTAACTGTAGGTTAATGTACCTGTGCCGTCGTGACTGTACACAAGGCAGGTTATGTTCGTTTTGGACTCGCTGGACACCAGATGCGAGGGACAAAACTTTTTCAGTACGCCGTTGTTATCATTTTCATTAATCTTCCTCTGATCATAGATCCTGAAGAGAGTAAGGTGACAGAAAATGAGCAAATGTTAAAATGTTACATTCATGGTTTTCCATTGATATGATCCGTGGCGTAAGAAACACTGAGTACAGCAAAGTCCATACCTTACGTACTGATCCCTCCCACCTACAGCAAACTGCTGTGTTTTGGCTGGATTGACAAAGATGGTGTACAGCCCAACTTTTTTATCGCCCTCCTTCACAACCACCAGTTTACTGCCATGCAGATATAAGAAGAAACAAAAGACAAGTGTTAGCCACAGCAAGGAATTTAAAATGAAAACACAAGAACGCTAGAATAAATATGAACAAAAGGTTCTTGTATATTACATTATTAAAAAATGTTTATTTATATGTGATCACAAGTTTTGCTCTACAGTCTGAATTTGCAGCAAGTTCAGTTTTTTTGTATTTTTTCTGCATCAAATTCAAACCCGGCGGCACGGTGGCACAGTCTGTAGAGCTGCCGCCTCTCAGCGAGAAGGTCATCGGTTCAAATCTCGGACCGGGGCCTTTCTGGGTGGAGTTTGCATGTTCTCTCCGTGCATGCGTGGGTTTTCTCCGGGTACTCCGGTTTCCTCCCACAGACCTAAAACATGCATGTTAGGCTGATTGATAACTCTAAATTGTCCCTAGGTGTGTGTGTGAGAGAGTGACTGGTTGTTTGTCTCGTTTATGTCTATGTGGCTGTGATGGACTGGAGACCTGTCCAGGGTGTCCCCCGCCTCTCGCACAGTGACTGCAAGATATGACCCCCATGACCCGAAAAGGAAGAAGAGGGTAAAGATAATGAACGGAAATTCAAACCCAAAGAATTCATCACACAATGGCTTACTTGGCTGGACGATCCAAGCGCAGGTCGATACCAAACACCACAGCGTCTTCTCCAGCTGACAGAAATGAGCAAGGCGAGTCTGGCTCCAGAGCCAGCTGATAGAAAGAGCAAAAATAAAATCTCATAAGAGATTGTACAGTACAGTGAAAGCCTTGACTCGTCATTTCTTTAAAAAGCCTGCAAAACTACTGATCGAGACTACCGTACACGTTTTTAAAAAAAATTGTAGATGTTTAACCCTTTTGCAAATTGTTGTACATCATTCAAGACATTTTCAAGTTTTTAAGCAAAAACACTTTCACATTCACCTTGTGCGCTGCTCCTTTATGCTGTGCGACCCGCTTTGTGTTCTTGCACCGCTGCGTGGCAGAGAGCTCAGCCACCCTGATCTGACCATCACGGGCGCACATGGCCAAGGTGGAGTCCCCACTGTGAGGCAGAAACTTTGCCTGTGTGAACCAAGGGCAAAGAGAAAAACTCATCTCAACTTCGTTATCCAAAAATACTTTTTGATTCTTTTTTTAGTGTGTGTAATTCCATAAATGGCCATTTAATTTTCATTACTTTTCATTTCTTTTGTCTTTTTCATAAAATAATTCTAGTTTATGATCAATTTATTTATTTTGCAAACATAAATGGGAGAAATCTTCACTTGCAATTAGGTCAAATCTGTAAAAATATACAAAATTCTACTCATATGAACATTTATGTATTTTATTAATTATAAATAAAGTGGCGTGTTGATATATAAAGACAAGCAACTTTTGTAAATGGCTCTCATTTAACTAGGAAATAATTTAAACGATCATGTGTTGCCATCTTTACCTCCCCCTCACCTGAAAGACATTACTCTTGTGTCCACTGTCAAACTCGAGCTCAGCACGGCGGATGGCCCAGTCCCAGATCACCACCCGCAGGTCGTCGCTGCCCGATGCCAAGCGTGTGCCAGAGGGGTTGAAGTGCAACGTGTTGACGCAACCTGCGTGTCTCTCCAAGCGGCCCTGGAGCTCCAGCCTCTGCACGAGGCCACGGGCGCCACACACGTGCCTGACAAACTGGTGGGAGTTCCTGCCGATCTCTCTGGAGCGCAGCGAGGGTACCGCCTGCCATATAGGGCCGCGCAGGTCATGGAGCTCTGCTCCCAGCCACGACTCGATAGCCTCATCATCGTCGTCGTCATCATCCTCATCCTTCTGCTCCTCTTCATCATCATCATCATCATCGTCGTCGTCGTCATCATCTGAGCTAGAGGAGTGGTTGGTGCCACCACTTGGTCTGTTTCTCTTTCGAGCTGCCCTTTTCTCACCATCTTTCTCTTTGGCTCTCTCTCGTCTCCCTCCCTCAGTCTCTCTTTCCCCATCCTCAGTTAAAGAGTACAGTCTGCTGCCGTCCATGCTATCCGTATCTTCGTCATCGTCTTCCCCATTGTTTGTCCCCGTCTCCCCATCCACGTCTGGCATAAGTTTGTCTCCAGATGCCTCTGATGTTTCTTTGGGAGCTACAAAATAATAAAAAGGGGACAGGATTTTAAGGCAATGCTGTTTCATTGTGAGAGTTAAGATGCAAGTGTATTAATAAAAAGGCATTGCAATTAAAATATGCACAATGCAAAACTAGTGCTAGATTATATTTATTATTGATGACTAAATAATTCAAAACGATTGGTTTAAACAGTTTCAAACAACTGAGGTATTGTATTTTTTTTAAGTGAGCTGTTGCAACAACAAAAGTAGGTTTACCATCTTGTGAGGAAGACTGTGTTTGTCCGTCTTTGCTTCCAGAGGCATCTTCCTCCTTGCACCGATCTTCTCCAGGCTCCTTGTCTTCAGAGCCGCCTAATAAACCCAAACATTTCCCATGATGATCTCTCACATTTCAAAATATCATAAAACATTTATAGTGTCATTGATTAACAGTGGGGGTGCACCGACTGCAGTTTTCTGGTCATCACCGATTTCTAAAGTCTGACCTGCCGATACCGATTTTGTTTAATAAGCGACACCGTCAGGTGTTATGAGGTCACAATGCACCTTCAATTTTCCAATATTATTTTGTGGAAAAACATACCCTTGAACAACATCCTAGAAACAATACAAACTTGTTTTAAATGGCCATGAGGTAGTGCTCTGAAATATAAATGAAGTGCAGACAATTGTCAAAACTAAAAAAAAAAATTAAATCGGTAAAATCGGTTTCTCGTGCAAGTATCGTCCGATTTCCTAAAATGAAGGAAATCGGGGCCGATTTATCGGTGCGCCACTAATTAGCGGTGAAACTTTACCATTATCCACAGTGGATTTGTCATTCTCAGCCATTCTCTCTTAGTCCTGCGTCGTCCCGAGGTAGAAACTGTAAATAAAACAACATTACGTTTTACTAACAGACGAGTGTACAAACAGGTCAGTGTCCAAACAACACGACGCACTGAAATTTAATCAACTTCAGCCTTCGCACTGAACATAAACACCTAGCTAGCTTTAAACTAGACACCAGGCTAATAATATGAGATTTACATGGATATCTTTTTAAAGTCACAAACTAACTGTGCTGCTAGCCAACACTGAGGCCCGACTGTTTTCTTTGTGGTGTCCAACACTGAGCTCTGCAAAACTGCGTCTGTTCGACTACGTAACTGTTGTTGTAGTAAAGCTACCTAGCATGTGTAGCTAAAATACTGAAACCACAACAGCAGCTGTGAAGTTCAGCCGAACATAAACACAGCAGTTGTTTTCACTCGCTAACTAGCAAGGGCTAGCGTTACCTCCACTCGAAGGCCCGACGAGGCGTACTTCTTAGTTTAGTCCTAATCTTTATTGCAGATTTCTTTTCCCCACCTTACTGCCCAGCAAAGGAGCTAAGTGCCTCGAGTAGGACTTCTCTGACGGGAAACACTCGACATTTGGAGCGCGTGCATGAAGCTGTTTGTTTTTTTTTCTTTGTAAAAGTCTGAGTAGAACCAGAACTAGCTGCGCTCACGCAAGGTTGTCTGCTCTGTTTATGTTTTGACCGTCCAGCTTCTTCTTTGTGTGCGTGCGTGTGTGTTTGTCGCGCCACTTCCGGTGTGTCGCGTTCGCCCGTTTTATGCTTTTATTTTGTCAACCGGAAGTTTACAAAATGCAACAATAATAATAATTAGTTTAAAACTGGTCAACGAAAAGTCTCAATAATTCAAGTGTTTTTGTGTTCTTTTTGATGTTCACTAGTTGAAATTAAAAGTAAAACTAAATGTAAACAAGAAAATGAGCATTTTTTTTTGTGTGAATGCTTATTGATTGCTGAAATTTGTTGAAGAAGCAGAAACTGAGAAGTTAAAGCTAAAAAAAACCAAACCACTAACTAAAAGCTAAAAGAAGCAGAGCTCCACCTGAAAGCTAAAAGGAACACCAGCTAACAATGATATCTGCTAGTCAAAAGTAGCAAAAGGCTAGCTAAAAGCTATAATTAGTAAAGTGATAGCAAGGAATTAAAAGTAGCAAAAGGTAAAAAGTAAAAATGTCAAACACTAGTTAAACACATCAAAGTCCATACCAAAAGCTAAAGTAGAAAATGGGTAGCTCAAATTTAAAAGTAGCAAAAACCTAAAGGTATAAAAAAATGTAGCTATAACGTGAAAGTATCAAAACAAAATCAACTAAAAGTTAAAAAAGTTAGACAGATAGTTAAAAGTAGCAGCTAAAATTAGCAGCTAAAAGAGCTAAAAAAATAGCAGAAAGAAAGATAAAAAAAAGCATAATGGTAGCCTAAAACTAAAAGTACAAGGCAAAAAAGAACACATATTTAAATGAAAAAAAATATATATATTTTTTTTGAATATTGAAGAAATCTTGGTGTAACAATGGAGTAAATAACTGTAAGCAGAGGTAAATATTTTATTTAAAATTATATATAAGATAGGGCAGCACAGTTGCGCAGTTGGTAGAGCCGCTTCTCCACAGAGAGCAGGTCGCCCTGGTTCAAATCCAGGTCAGGGTCCTTTCTGGGTGGAGTTTGCATGTTCTCTCCGTGCATGCATGGGTTTACTTTGGGTACTCCAGTTTCCTACCTAACAGTCACTAATGGTGTGCCACAAGGCTCAGTTTTAGGTCCCACTCTTTTTACAATTTATATAAATAATGTAGGTCAAAACGTTCCTGACGCATCCTTGCATCTCTACACCGATGACACTGTTGTTTATTGCCAATCAGCATAGTTGACAAGGTTTTCCAGCTTCTACAGTCTTTGGCATCATTCAGTCAGACTTATTTCATCTCAAGCTCGTGTTAAATGCTGACAAAACCAAAGGGATGTTGCTTTCAAACAGAAAGTCAGTGCCAGCAATTCTTATCTCATCCATGCATGGTGTTCCTATTGAGTTTGTAGATTCTTACAAATGCTTGGGAATTTTGGTTGATGCACATCTCTCTTTTAAACCACATATCAAAAACTTGATAAAGAAACTGAAATTAAAACTGGGTTTATTTTTCAGAAATAGATCTTGCTTAACTCTGAATGCCAGAAAATGCCTTTTAACTACTAATTTCCTAGCGGCCATTGACTGGTAACATTATTTACATGAACGCCGCTGTCAGCTCCCTGCAGATGTTGGATGTTGTCTATCATGGTTTACTAATATTCATAACTGGCTGTAATTACCGTACCCATCACTGCATCCTGTACTCCTTGGTCAGTTGGTCATCATTTTCAAACATTTGATAATGTCAATAGAAAGATCAAAGCAAATATGTTCTTGTTTTTAGCATTTTACCTTGTTTTACGGCACCCTGATTCATTGTTTTATTGCACAAATTTGATTTCAGCTGCATTTTTACTATAGTTTATTGTTATTATTGTTTATTGCTATTGTTGTCTGTTCTTTATATGTTCTGTCAAGAACAGATTCCTCTTGTAAATGAGAACTTGCGGCTCAATGAGACTAGCCTGTGTAAATAAAGGTTGAATGAATGAAAATCCTCTCAGAGACCAAAAACATGCACGCTGGGCTGATTGGTAACTCTAAATTGTGAGTGAGAGAGTGAATGGCTGTTTGTCTCTATGTGGTCCTGTCATGGACTTGTGACCTGTCCAGGGTGTACCCTGCCTCTCACGGTGATAGCTGGGCATGGGCACCAGAGAGCTCCGCGACCCAAAAAGGAACAAAGAAGTAAAAGATCATGGATGGATGGATTATATATACAATAATATAAAAAGTATATTTGAAATTGAAACTGTGTTTTGATGGAACAGAATCCCAATTTTATATTATTTTTAGTTCTTAATTGCATAATAACTCAGGACTCAGGTCCACATGACAAATTTCTTGCAGCCCAACCTACTTTTTTCCTGCACGTTGAAGTTGTTGAAACTGTCTTCAGAGCCATCTGGCTGCCTCACTTCGGTTGTGACATGATGGGATCCCGTGGTTTCCTTCCTGTGTTTATATCAGAGGCTTACCAGCAGTGATGGTTGCAGGACTGCCTCCGTTAGAGCTCCTTATCCCTCTTCATCTCACAGCAGTGAAACATACAGATGGCATCTTCCCAGCAAACATGCCATGAAGATTAGTCACCTTCTTATAATCCACATGGAGTGTTAGTTATGAATGGGAAACAAGGAGGGAAACTTTAAACTGTGGTACGATTTAAAGGGGCTAGTTATTTATCCTAAATATGTTGTAATAAAGGCTCAAAAACAAAATGATAAACAAAACAAATAAAATAATAATAAAAAAAACTTAAACAAAGCAACCCAAGTAAGAAGTAGTATGCACAGTAATAAAGTGCCAACAATGGATTTGCTATTTTTCCAAGAATACTGTTTTCTGCTTGAACTTAATTGCAGTAAATTTATTTGTAGTAATAAATAAATAAATAAAAACAAGTTCAGTTACACTAAAATTTACAGTAACTGGCAAACTTGCTGCCATTTTGCTGTAAGTTTTACAGTCACGTCTTCTTTGCTGCACAAAATCTACTGAGTTTAGGTTCATTTATCTCTTGCAAAGTCACGAACGACCTAACAAAACATTAGCAAACAAACAAATGAAATAAATCTGCACATTTTTCTTACACTGATGGTTAATGTGACCTTAAAAGAAAGCAAATGTTACGAGAGGCCAGCATTTGTGTTTGCTTATAGATAAACAGCCAAAGTGGCTGAAAATAGGTCAAACGTTAAACTTGACAGCCATATTTGTTTACACAGACTACAGCCAGCATAATGTAGGTCAGTCATATGAAAAAATGTTTAGTCTGATTTAGCTATTAGCTTTGTATGGAAGCCCATTTCCACCATAATAGAAAAATAAATAAAAGCCCAACAGGAAGACATAATTTTGACCTTTAAAGTCATAATTACGAGAATAAAAGTCCTAATTATAAGTTTTAAAGTCAGTTATGACTTTTATTCTCATAATTATGACTTTAAAACTCAAAATTATTGCTTTAAATTTCAAAAGTATGACTTTTATTCTTGTAATTATGACTTTAAAAGTCAAAATTATTATTTTAAAACTCATAATTATGACTTTTATCTCATAATTATAACTTTAAAACTCAAAATTATGAATTTAAAACTCAAAAATTTGACTTTTATTCTCGTAATTATGACATTAAAAGTCAAAATTATGATTTTAATAGTCCAAATTATGACTTTTATTCTCATAATTATGACTTTAAAAGTCAACATTATGACTTCCTGTTGGGCTTTTATTTTTTCTTTCATGATGGAAATGGGCTTCCACAGATTTGTTTACACTGAGTGTGGACCCCCATTTCAAATGTACTTTTCATATAGCCTATTTGGAAAACTATAAAAGTCAATTTATGAATGGCACTATTTTATATAGTTCATGTTTGGTTTCATTAATTGCAACACGTACCTTTTAAATTTAGATAAATACACAGAAATGCTTCCTAATTGTGATTGCACGATCAAACTTTTTTTTTTTTTTTTTGGCATGATCATTATTTGTATCTTTGTAAAAAAAATAAACAATAATTCAACAATGTGTCAACAGGCGCATCAACATTTTTGCAGCAGTTTGACTCATTTCAAGGGGCTGCTTCACGACCTGAAAATATCTCAGAAGGAGGAAGGGGAAGTACAGTCATCCTGAGGGGGGGTGTTCACATCATGTGCGCATAAAGCTGCTGCAGCTCTGTCGTTTTCCGACATCTCAGAGATGGAGTACTGGAGGCAGTGCGCGCTCTGGCTCATCGGCTGCAACGTGCTGCCGCCGAACCACCGCGTGACGGCGGACACGGCGCAGGTGTTCGACCTGGCGCAGACCCTGCGGGACGGGGTCCTGCTGTGCCAGCTGCTCAACAACCTGAGAGCCGACACCATCAACCTGAAGGAGATCAATCTGAGGCCGCAAATGTCCCAGGTAAAACCAAAATGGATATTTAAACTGTTCACCTTCAGATTCAAGCCCACCTGGATTTGTTGTTGAAGTGACTCTGGTTCTACACAAACCAAAGACTCTAGTTTGTTCAAGATCAAGAAAACAAACAGAATTACAAATTACAAGAGACATGTTGGCACATGCAACTTTTTTTTTTTTTTTTTTTGACATTTCCATCAAAAAGCATCACTGCCTGCTGCAAAAAAGTTTACATTAGAACAAATTTAGTGGATTTATTTCTTCTTCTTTTGCTTTGATTTTAGAATAGACCCTTAAATTGTGAATGTTTACAACTTAATGCACCATTTCCTCACTGTGACAGTTATTGACACACACTAAAAACTGCTGGGTTCATACTGATCCAATTTGTAACCCAGAGCTGGGTCAAATTCACTGTAATGCCACTTTAATTAGTGATATGTGACTTATCTGTGCTGCTTATTTTCCATGCTGCTGATCTCATGCTGCTGATCTCTTGACTTTATGCTGCTGTACCCATCTGCTCACCACAGACTCATGTTCGGGCTGCTGTTGTTACGCCGTATTGTTTTACATTATTAGTGTTTAGCGTATATCTTAGATCTCTTAGCGTACCGTTTGGTGTTTGTTTAGCATAGCCTATATCTTAATGTTAGATCCTTATATACTGTTTCTTTTTATACTTTTGCTATTTTGGGGTGTAACTGGGACCTTGTACATAATTTTGTTCCACCTCATGTGCCACATGTGATGCAAATGACAATATACTTGGCTTGAACTTGAACTTGAAATTTGGACTGAGGTGACCCTGAATCATGTTAACATGACATTGTTGGGTTGTTAGTTTGACTCAGCATAGTCAGTTTTCAACCCAAACATTAGGTTACATGAGTAATTTGCTCAGTTTTGATGTCACTTCACCTGTACACCCACATCAGAGGCAGTAGAAACTGTCAGGAAACATCTTCAACAAGATTACAGGACCAATTTCACCCCGGACCAGAGCTGTACTCTGCTGGACCTTTGACTTTCCACAACTTATTTGCAGTTCAATGACAGCCTTTACAGACAGGAGCACGGTTGTGCCGTGGGATTTCCAGTGTCACCAATTACAACCAGTCTCTACTTGGAGGAAATGGAACAGAGAGTCCTGGACTCCTTCAAGGGAACATCACCAAGTCACTGGTTCAGATATGCAGATGACACTTTGGTCAGAATCCATGCGAAAGAAGCAGAAGCGTTCATCAAACACATCAACTCTGTGGACAACAACATCAAGTTTACCAGCGAAGTTGCCAATGACAAGCAGCCTTTTCGGGACGACGGAAAGAGATGGAAGCCTCAACATTGAAGTTTACAGGAAACCTCACACAGATCAGCACCTTCTGTTTGACACCCACCACCCACTGGAACACAAACTCTCTGTCATTAGAACTTTACGCCACCGGGCCGAACACGTCCCCACAAAGAAAGAAAGGAAGGAAAAAGAACAGAAACACATCAAAGAAGCTCTCCAAACCTGTGGATGTAACTGGGCCTTTGTCAAATCAGCAAACAAATCCAAAAAACATGCTGCAGAACAGAAGAGGGAGAAGAGCAAACACAAACACATTGTCATCTCATACGTTGCTGGAGGATCTGAAAAACTCAGAAGGATTTTCTGCGACACGATATCGTGGTACATTTGAAAGCCCACAGGACCCTCAGACAGAGGTTTCATCCCAAGGACAGAACCCCCCAACTGAGCGGTGTGTCTGCAGTTCATTGCAGTAAGGAATGTTCAGATGTCTATATTGGAGAAACTAAATCTCTGCACAGACGCATGGCTCAACACTGGAGAGTGGCTCATGGAGTACACACGGTACGCCCGAGTATTCATTTTTTCATTTACCCTTTATTTATACAGGTTAGTCTCACTGAGTCACGAAAACTCATTTTCAAGAGAGAACTGTTTAGGGAACAGATGGTGGGAGTT